TTTCAACAACAGTCATTAATTGATAATAAACTATTCAGTTTGATTTTGATTATGACTTAATAATCATAACTACAATTTTTGGTCAATTTATTAAGTTCTTAACCAAAATAAGGCTTCAAATTAAAAAAATAAATAAATAAATAAAACTCACCCTCCTTTCAGCTGATAAGTTTCTTTGCTGTCTCCCAGGATATGTATGATGAGGAATTGCTTTAAAGAACCATGCTCCAGTTCGCTTCCATAGCTACAGATAAAAACAAAATAACTGAAGTTGGAGCCGAAATCTCCCTGTAGGATCTTAAGATCTTAAGAAAGCAAAATTCGACCATTATCGGTATAATTATTTTATCACTCATTAATAGTATTTCCAGCCTCATAGCATCCATAATGTATTTCCGGTAATTCATTGAGTCTGTTGGGAGCCAAGAACAAGTATCACAGCACTGCTTAGCAGACGTTACTAACCTGGATAAATTACGTCTGCGACGAAGGCTATACCTGTATGGCCTCTATGTAAAATTCCTGTCTGCAAAATGTTTGCCTGTTCCTATGCAGTTTAAGGATATGAACAGATGCTTTTTTATTGCAGATAATGTACTCCAAAAAGTAGTTGTCATCCTTCAGGTAATTTTTGTAATAATTCTTGCAATTTCTTTGAGGCAGTAATGATAATGGCTATTTCGTGCATGTATTCGCATATGAAATCTTCCACCATTTTTTTTTTTACAAAACAACTGAGCCACCCATCTAGTTATTACATGTAGCTATTAATTCAATCAATATTTCATTTCACTTCCATTTTATATTACCTCTCTTTGTTCACTGCACAGCCTACACAACCAAATGGTTTCACCAAGACTGTTTTGCGTATCTAAGCCACACTTTTGACAAACATTCTGAAACCGAAAGTAACGTTAGGAAAGCAAGCTAAGAAATACATTAAAGGGTTAACAGTAAAAATTTGATAAGAAACTGTTTTTAAATACTAAATATTATCACTATAATATTTTGTTCCCAAATCATTCTTATGATAGATACTATCTGCACCCCTTCCTCTACAGATGAAAAAGCCAAGGCTTTAAATGTACCATTTTCAATAAAAACAAAAATAATGTTACTATTCCCAAGCCCTTACAACACAAAAACACCAAAACTGAAAAGTTACGACCAATTTTTTGTTAATTTATAGATAGTGTTAAAGGGAGGGGATGGGATGGTTGTGTGGGTAGGGATGGGGAGGGGTAGAAGGGTAGGGTGTAATGTGGTAGTTTCACTTTTCATACATGGGCATCTTTGCTTTCGTCTGAAATTTGTAAATCTTGTATCATAAATATTGATAGCATTTTTGGGTCTGATTTTTCCCAATGCAAACGTTCTGTCAAAGAGGTTTTATATCAATGGCAACACCATAAGATTTCTTCCAAACTATTAGTCTTTAGAATCAAGAGTGACAAATCGTTCCGCCATATCTTGGTAGGAGTGAGAGGTTATCAATAAATTAATAAATAAATAAAATCAACTAATAATAATAATAATAATAATAATAATATTTATTAACAATAATAACTTACAATAACAAATTGCAAAGCAAAATGGAACCAAAGGTGGATAATCATATTTTCCCAAATCTCCAATTAGAATTGCATTATTTCTTCATCTTTTTCTTACAAACTTTTCAAACTTTTTCTTATAAACTTTTCAATTAAACCTAATTATTCAGGAATCTTTAGAACATCTCCAGAAATCTCTGCACAAAATTGTTGCACTCTCAGGCAAAAATCTCATGCTAGGCAACCTAACCCTAAAAGCAAACAAGCTTACTGAAAGAAATACATTTTATGTATTTTAGAAGCATACCTTCCCACATATATCACATTTCTTTGCAACAACTTTTAAGGTTCCAAACTTGGAATTACAGAGAAGACAAGTCTCTTTCCCATCTCCAATGGCATTGTTGCACATATTCTCCAGCTTCTCCACAAGCCGTCTAATAAGAACAAAACAGGTGGTCATAACAATTATTATGAGGATTTAAAGCCACCTACACACTCTGTGAGAACTATTTGGTGTCAAAGCACACAACAGAAGTCCTACCATGGCCCTCTTAAACTGGGGCCAGAACATCACCCATATTCAGGATAGTGGCTGCATTTCATATCATGTATGAAATGCAAGATATGCTTCAAGCTAATATCTTGATAGTGAGAAAATGGCTTCTAGCTGAGCTCTGTCAAATCACACACTCATGAAAAAAATATAGGTTGCTGTAATAAGTACGGTAGGTTGAAAGATGGTGGTAGCCATATACAATAATATTTAGGTCTTTTTGAGAGAAGAATTTCACAGAATCTGAAAGTTCGTGGGAAGATAAAATTTTGGGGAGTAGTCAATATTTTTTAATGAATTTTTGTTGGCAAAAGAAAATAATGGACCATTCTGGATTTTCAGCACTTTCAGGATAAAAAGGGGCAACAAAATTTATTAATGCAGTGACTTTACTTTCAGGCAACAAAACAAGAACTTATCAACGAGTCCTGTGAGTTTTAAAAACTAATCCTTTGGATGTACACCTAGACTTGTTGTACAAACAATGACACGTGCCCCTTGAGGCTATGTTGGTCTATGTCCACATTATACTGGACAGCTCTTGCACTGGCATGAAAACAAAACCAGATAGGGGGGCTTCTGTTCACACAAAAGAATGGTGATTATGGCACGATTTCTGTGATGGAGCAAAGCCTTGAAAGTTGAGCATCACAATAGGATCTGTGCCACACTTTGGTACAGTGTGAATGGGTATTCGCAGGACCATAGTGGAAGTGAATAAATCGGAGTGAGGACTGGAATCCAATGAGATGGAAGTAAATATTCAGGAGTGAGGACTGGGATTTAGTTTAGCAAACCCTCTTGGCCAACCCCTCTGGCACAATGAGGCCCTACCAGGGTAAATTCCGACAAGCGACATGGCCCAAAAAGTAGCGGCAGCGCGTAAAATGAAATCACGGCAAGAGACAACCTCCCTCAGCCAAATTGCGACAGTGACAGCAAAGCGACAATAAGCGACAAGCAGTTATAAACACCGACACCAGACAGTTTAAAATTCAGATGAGCGACATGGGCCGCCCCCCCCCGCTGGCAGGGCCTCCACAATGTTTGATGTGGGTAAAGGACTTTCTCTATTTCTGCATCATATGCTGTCCATCCTACACTGGATAGCCTTTCACGTTGGCACAAAAAACTATCTGCTAAGGCATGAACATAGCCTGAGTGTGTGCTGTCACACAAGGCCTTAAAAAACAACGACAACAACAAAAACAAGTCAATAAAAATTGAGTTTAACTACTACGGTCTGTACGTAGCAATATAACAAAACTATTGTATTTTTCAACCTAAAAGGGTGTGAAAAGCCAATAAATTTGAGATAAAGAAAACAAAATATTTCCACTTTTTCCCATTTTAATAAAAATTTTGAGTCAATAAATTTCTTTCATAAATTAGGAACAACTTGTATTTGTCTTAAACGTTGCTTAAGTGTGTAGTAATGCAAACTAATAAAGAGGTGTAGTTTACATACGATAATGATTATTTTTCTATAATAAGGTTAAATATTTTCGTCAAGAAAGATGCGGTACACAGTGAACAAAAATAAAATCAATGAATGCAAATCACAACCAACAATACGTTAAATTTTAATGCGGAAGAAAGATTAAATCAATCTCCCATATTTCCGTCCCTTTTCTCCTAGGAGCAAACTCAGACTTATTGACGTTAAACGGTGATTTAATTCCAAAAAGGAACTTACCCAATTCTTTCTTCTTCATTTTGACGAATTCTTTCAGATCGCTCTAAAACTTCTCTGATAATTTCTTGCTCAGTAGCGCTTATATCTGCCTTAGTTGATGTCTTTCTCGCTGGGCCGCTCGAATGAAAAGACCAACCTGAGTTGAGCCTGAAACGTAAGAAAAAAAGCTAACTTAATCTGTTGTAAGCTTATTTATCTGTAAGTCCACTCTAAATAAAATAATATGTAAACAACTAAAGCTTTATATAAGCTTACGTATACTACCATCAGTAGAATTTTGATATGCGATCAAAACTGAATCGAAATGCGACAAATTGGAAAAATATGACAAAAGCTCAGGAGACTAACAACAAATTTTCCAGAAACTTGGGCCATCTCGGGCGGGTTTTCTTGAAAAACCTTTTCAAGACCTTTTTGGGTCTGAAACACATCCTCTGTCATGGCCGCTGCAAGACGGAAAAGCAACTATCCGAACGAGCTCCCGCATTCGAATCGAAAGAGGAGCTGACTGTCAGTGACTCTACAACGATAAAATACAAGGTCCAAATTATTAACAGTCCTTGGGAACTTCGGCCAGCTGTTTGTGGCTTTGCAGTTTTCAATTATTTAGGAACCGGAAACAACAAAATCATCGACTCTACACTGCATGATCACAGCAAACCGCTGCGTGCAATATTTTGTAAATTTCAGCATGCCTATTTCCACGCCTGCCCTAATTAACTTTGATTTGTGCACGGTCAAAAATTCAATTAAGTCTCATTCTAGAATATACTCACTTTGCTCGCAATTGTAACTGTCGATCATTAGGACAGACCCATCGTTGTTCCTCATCGGTGGTTAATTCACCCATTTTTCCACTAAATCGAAAGATCAGCTGTGTCAACTTAACGTTTGCTTACCACCGCGGGAAAAGTACAACTTGTCTTCATCGTCCCAAATGAGCAACGCACTTGTTTCCCGTTAAAACAGCGCTGAGGGGAATCAAAGTCACGCAAAATTAACCTTCAGCTGTCTAACAAAGTGAATCTTTCCTCGAAAATGCCTCTAGCCATAGGGATCTACAGCAAATCGCTTCTTGCTCCAACCCAAAAATCAAACAACAATCTTTCCTAATACGAAACATTTTGCGTGACAGACCACGTCACGTGATCAATTCATTAATGCTTCATTTACGAATTATTCAAATACCTCCTGGAAAATGAATTCAAAATGGCTGCGATGTGTTCATCGACAACAAAACTCTCAAGTTAGGTTGATATGCTTTCCTTGGGCCGGCGGCAGTGCAGCATTCTATGGAAACTGGGGAAAGAAATTTACTAGGGAAATTGAGGGTTTGTGTCAATTTTCCCTCTTTTTAGTTTCAAATTAATACTTAATGAGAACTGCTTTCCGAATGACAGCTGCAATTATTCCAGTCGTTACCCGGCACTAAGCGAATTAACTCGAAGGACTGATACGCCAAAGATTATCATCTCGCCAATCTTTTTAGCATTAATAAAAGATTTCAATTTTATTGAATTCTATATGAGAGAAATATCAACAAAAGTAATCCAATTTTTTACGTACACCGTGCGCATTCTGACAGCATAATGACAACATTTTTCATTTCCGGTTTCCGCCCCCCCGCCCCCCCGTTTCACAGAGACACTTGAGCAAAAGTGTACTTCCATCTGTGATGCATGCTACTAAAGAAATTGACTTTGAATGCTTATATAGATATACCTTTATGCACAGCCCTAAGTGGTAGATGCCAGTGGCTAAAAATAATGACTTTCTATCTTTAACAATCCAAAGGGAGACCAAAACCTGTTAATTTTTCCCCCAGGCAGTTACCCCACCCCCCTCCCCCCCAGCACTTCCCACTTGATGGACATGTTTTGGAAATTCAATGAATCACCATTTGGTCTAAATATTGGTGAGCGTTTCGTATTGTAGACCTTAATGTAAAACTTTAAAGGGGTTCCCACAGTGTAACTGGAGTGGGGTAATGCAAAGACAGTAAGAGTGGGGCATGGGAACATCTAGTTGTTAAATTTGACAAATTTGTACCTAATTGTTAATGTTTTACCGTCCACTTCTGTTAAGTGATAGTGACCACTCAAAATCCTGTGATTCGAAGGTTGATTACGAGACATGGTAGTCCATTTCTGGTCACTCTCTCTTTGATATGCAATTGGAGGTTGCCGCTTACGACAGCTGTAACACAGATCAGGACCATCTCTTCTGGCAACAAGTCTGACATATCTATTTACTCAAAGAGAATTGTTGCATACAGTTTCTGAGTTAGAATATTGGCAATCTCATGTACTTCCCGCTAAAAAAATCCTCTTATACTCTGAGTTACGTAATCTATATTAGCGAATATAGAAATGAGAAAATATTTTTGGTCACTTATAGGGCAAAAAGGTATTGCATTGTGGTCACTCACAAGAAGTGTTACTTTACAAGAGGTTCCAACTATAATAGTGATTTAATTGGGGAAATTTTAAAATTTTGGAAAGGCTGCTGCTTACGAAAGGCGGTCGCACATAAAAGTCCAACTGTAGTTATATAATTTTTGGTCTTGTTGTCTTTGTCTTATCTACAGTGTATGGGGTTTGTTTACCTGGCCGTGAGAGCAGGTTTTCAGAGCCGTTTAATACAGACTGGGAGTCTCTTGTGAAAGACATTTGCCAGGATGTGCAAGGGATTCTAAGAGAAAAGCCTTTTGCTCTCTGGGGACACAGGTTAGTGGCAAGTAGCCACAGTAAATAACCAAAGTAATAATAATTGCCAACCTATCAAGCTGCCAGTATCTCATCTTTGCTGGATAGAGGTCAGTCTCCCCAGGGTGGTACCCCCTATTAAAATGATGGAATAAATATTGCAAAAATTAATTATAACTTTTATCACTGGGTGTGAGGCATGTGTGGCCAATTGGTTATTACACCTCAAACTCCGGATCTGGAGGTCCAGGTGTCAAGCGTCGTCTCGCTGTTGTTTCCTTAGACAAGGAACTTTACTCTACTTGAGCCAGGTGTATATTAAATGGGTACCGGTGACGTACTGGTGGGGGGTAACCCTGTGATAGGCTAGCTTCCAGTCAAGGGGAAGTAGCAATACTCATAGGAAATATATGCCTTATGCTAAGGAAGCCAGGATAAACTCCAGCTGTTTAGGGCTTTGTCTTGTGTGCGCCTTTACCATTAGAGTGTAAATTTGCTAAGAGTTAGAGGAGGACTTGGATTACAAGTCCAGGCCTATATTAAACTGCTCAGACTCTTTACTTCCACTTTAGAAGGTACATGGAAATATAGCATTTTTCATTGGTGTCAATCCCTGAAAGCTACATTCAGTGGACCAACATGCATCCTTATTATTTTAATATCACTTGTGAAAGGAACTCTTGTGGAATGATTTTCCACCATTTTTATTGTTGTCCCCTAAAGTCTAGGTGGTGGAATTTGCTTTGAGGTAGCGAGACATCTAAAACTGCAGCATAACTTGCAGCCAGTTCACATGTTGATATCATCAGCATCAGCACCTCAGGTTGGTTGCAGACACACCTTCAGTTCAATATTATTGACCTCGTTCGAGTACCACCGTAAAACTCTTGATACAGCTCTGGATGGCATATAGTGCTCTGTTGTTTGTAGTTTTCTGTCATCTCCAAAGGACTTGAAATTTAGATTGTGTTATATTAGGGTTGGTTGGGTTGGTTAGGTTTTTTCATGCTATAATGGGAAAAAAAGGTTTTTGGTTAGTTTGGCTGATCAAGTTAGTTGAAATGGTTGAAAATGATTGGTAGCATCTGCTGATCTTTTAGGAAGCGTGCATCACTTTTAAATTGTTACATCAATTAATGGGATTTTGTCTTAGTTAAAACTTTCTGCATAGTTAGTCAAGTCATTCCAAAATGAGATTATTATATCTGATGTCTGTAAAATTAGGCTATTTGCATGGTTTTGATTAACAGTGATTTACGGAAACAGAGATAAGTAAAAAAGAGAGTAAAAAGTCGAAATTACCAATTGCAGGCTCTTTGAAAATCATATGGGCGTGATCATATACCTTGCTTTTGTATTGTTCAAACCTGAAAGATTGAAAGAAAAAAATTGAGACAGTATTCTAGTTTGTATAATATTTCTTACAGGTTCCAAGAACAGTTCTTGATGTTTCAAGTTTGAGTGATGATGACTTAATCCAAAAAATCCGCAACTGGGGAGGAACACCAAAAGTCTTGACCGAAAACAAAGACATGATGAAGATTGCTGCTCGTGTTTTAAGAGCTGACCTGACACTCCTCCAAAACTACAGGTAGCATAAACTTGAAATACCAAAAATACATTAGCAGACTGACAGGATGTAGTGATGAAGAGGGAGGGGCTGCCCATTATAAATCATTTCAAAAGCTACCGTAACGCTTTTTTTTCTTTATGTATCGCTTTCTGATAAAATGAACGACTTAATCCATTCATACCGGATCTTCAATTTATTTACCGAAAAACTTCCAACGAACCTACTTGCCTTTTTATCAGGTCATATTTTAATCAAATAAAACCTCACAGTCTATCCAAATCTGTGTCTGTTTTTTGGACATTAAGGTCGATTTTCTCAAAGAGTTAGATTTATAACTATTTGGGTTGAGGCCTTTTGCCTAAACACTGAAAAAGATGGAAATTTATACAATGACTGTGTGTTCTAAAAAAGTTCGCGTGGGTAGTGAGAAGTGATCAATTGAGCAGTCCATAGTTTACTTTTTGACTGCATATTTGGTCCATTTAATGGAAAATGTCCTTCGGCAAAGTCGTCTCTGAGTGTTAGACTCTAGAAATTGATTTTGTCAATTGAGCTGACAAAAGAAAACTGCCCTTGTACCGTCGGTTGAGCGGCTCAGGTATCACGCATTATAGTGTAGATAATCATGTTTTGGCTGCGGAGACGCCCCTTCTCTTTTTGTCCCCTTCGCCAAGATGCCGTGATAGTCTACCACCACCGCTTCCGGACGACTGGGAGCTAATCAGATGTTTTGGTGATGAACCATGGTCAGGAAAGTCGGGTGTTTTAATATTTAGAAGTAGGCTAATTCTCTGAGCCAACCGCGATTGTTGCCAATTGATTTGAGCTAGCAGTTTATTGATTTGCATTCTAATCTAATATCCAACTGTAGGTTTGAAACTAATAACAGCGTAGTCTTGAATTGCCCCGTTACATGCTTCGATGGTTCAACAGATCTTCACGATCAAGATGGTATGTAAGCTTTCTAGTCCCCGCGCCGACAGCGCATTTTTTCCACTGCTAGATCTTTAACTTACGTGCCCAAACTAAGCCGGGTAACCTAAGGATTTTGCAGCCTCGTTCCCACCCTCCCCTCCTTTTGGAGGTTTTGTTGTTGTTATCAATAAACCCGGGCCCACCGTTTTCTTTCGCCATCGGTTTTTAAAAATCTCACGGCGAGTTCCCCAGGCTTTGATTTAACGCAAACTTACTTTGACGCTCTTTATTTGATTGCATTCCAGCACGTGCCGGCGGAGTCGGCACGTAGTACTGATAAGATAAACTTCCCAGAGTAGAATAATTGCTTACACCGCCCCATTAAGTTGCACGATGCTGGCTGGAAGTTTCAGCTCGTTGTGCCTATATGTCGCCGTGGTGTCAATATCGCGGGGGAAATAAGTAAGGCTATATGGCCACGATATGGCGGAAGTCTTCTTCCACGTACGCCGATCGCGGAGTGGTGTTCTACCCTTTACAGTCAATTCTCTCTAAGAGGGACACCTTTGGGACCGGCACTAGCTGTCCGTCTTAGAGAGATGTCCGTCTTATAGAAAGTCAAATAGAGGGAGCAAAGAAAGGCAGGGACCAACTCTAGGTGTCCGTTTTACAGAGGTGTCCGTCTTATAGAGGTGTCCGTTAAGAGAGAGTCGACTGTACACCATATGTTTTTTTGTCATGTTTTCACTAGACTTTAATTTAAAGTCTAGCCAAAGGAACTGCGACATTAATTGACTGTGGTTTTCCATTTTTACCCTCTTCAGACACTTTCTTTGGAATCTGTTAGAAGACACTTCCCTCTCACCTATAGTTGGTCCATGCGTTCTTTAGTCATTTTCTTTGACTCGCTGTAAGGCGGACACCTCCCTTAAATGGACACTTAGATTTTGGTTGTGCAGTCTCTTAGGTAGGCTCGATTTCCGCCGTCTCATTTTCCCGAACAGCGGCTGGTAATCGAGGCTATTTCTTAGGCGGACACCTCTCTATGAGACGCTCCAAGACTTAAGGTGATGTTACACGGGACGATTCGCAACGACGACTTTTAGCGCAACACAGCATTGCAATGTTGGAGCAATGTTGTAACCATTCGAAACAATGTCGTAGCAATGTTGCCACGCTGCATTTCGCTAAAAATCGTCGTTGTGAATCGTCCCGTGTATCATCAACTTAAGTCTTGGAGCGGAGAGTTGACTGTAGACAGAGAGTCAAAGAGAAAACCATAGTAACATCGATCTGAAGGATGAGGTCGAACACCTTAAGTTTAATAGCCACATCTCTATTTTTTTGTTAATTGCTTTGTAATTAGATTGTGTTTTTTTCTTTTTTTTTTTGTTCTTACAGGTTGGGCAGAACTTATGCATGGTCCTTTTAAGAGACATATTCTTCCTGGTGGCCACTTTTATTTCATGGAAGGAGACAACGAAACTTCTCTCATAAACCTTATTTCTGCTGCTGT